CCCCCCGGGATCCCACCCCCTTATCCAACCCTCCCTGCTCCCTGTCCCCTGACTGCCCTCCCGACCCCTATCCACATCCCCGCCCCCCCCCAGAACCTCCGCCCCATCCAACCGCCCCTTCCTTCCTGACTGCCCCCCAGGACTCCCAGCCCCCTTACCATCAGCAGGAGCTCGCAGCCGCGACACCCGGCCAGAGCCAGCTGTGCTCCATGCTGCCCAGCGGGAGCGGTGGGCCAGAGCGCGGCCCGCGTGGTGGCATGGCTGCAGGGGAGGGGCCGGGAACTAGGCTCCCCGGCTGGGAGCTCAGAGGCTGGGCAGGATGGTCCCACGGGCTGGATGTGGCCCGCGGGCCGTAGTTTGCCCACGTCTGATCTAAATACTTAATGTCTCTGCAGAGCTGATGCTTATTATTTACAGCAATTTGACAGAATGAAAATATAACACCTACCCTCCAGGTCTTCTGTAAATGTTTATCGGTGCCCAACAGTATTAAACACATAAATCTTCTAAAGGTTGTTCAAGTTCTGTTTTTAATACTCATTTTTATTTTTACAGGAAATTATTTGCCAGAAGAATAATGTAAGTAGGAGGTTTTCTTAAATTAATTAAATTTGGATTTCTGTCCCACTTAATATTATTTATACTGTCCCGTTTCCTGCCTGGATCATTTAATATTATCCTACTGTGTTTCCCATTATAGTTATTTCACATCTCTGTTGAACTACAGTTCCGAATGTTTGCACTCCCAGCAGCAAACTGTATACATCATTTCATAAACCTGTTGCTAGGTAGCATGCTCACCCCCTTACCTTTTCTCTACCCTTCAATAGTGTTTTCCTGTCCGTCTCTCCTATTTTTCTTTCACACACACCCCTTTTCTTTGCCACCATGTTTTTGTTCTCTCTTCTCTGTCTTTTCCCCCTAATTTCTTCTTCCTATCTTCTAGTTTTCTTCCCCAGAACTGGTTTAAACACATGCAGTGTTGTCCTCCTGCTTGTAAAAACTGTATGCAGTATGTACACGGTACCGCAAGCATCGTGTGTGTGTGTGTGTGTGTGTGTGTGTGTGTGTGTGTGTGTGTGTGTCGTCTCTCTCTCTCTCTAC